TGGTTTTCCCTCGCTGTGTGTGTTTCTTGTGCTCGGCAATACGAACATTCAATGGCCTCTTAGTTTCACCAATATAGGATTTTCGCACTCACTGGTATCCGGTAAATGCAATTCTTGGAATCGCAGTCCGCGTTTGGTGGCCTGGTTTTCGTGAGGCTGCTACGGATAGTGTTACCGGATCTGAAGAAGGTTCTGATGTTGTACTTGGAACCAATTCTTCTTGTACTTGGAACCAAAGTCCATCGCCAAACGATGGTAGAAAAGACTTTGGCTAGAAGACAGCAGGAGCCTCGCAAGGAAGAGAAGCCGTCACAACTAGTGCTTGCACTTCCCTACATCAGAGGATTTATCGGAGAGGATAAGAAGAATTGGTTCCAGGTACAACATCAGAACCTGCTTCAGATCCGGTAACACTATCCGTAGCAGCCTCACGAAAACCAGGCCACCAAACGCGGACTGCGATTCCAAGAATTGCATTTACCGGATACCCTGTGAGTGCGGAAAATCCTATATTGGTGAAACTAAGAGGCCATTGAATGTTCGCATTGCCGAGCACAAGAAGCACACAGCGAGGAGAAACCAGCAAATCAGGAATAGCAGACCATGTTTGGACCCATCAACACAACATCGAGTGGTCCCAAGCTGAGATCTTGCACAGAGAGGAACATTGGTTTAGGAGAAAATTCAAGGAAGCCGCATACATGTTGTCCAACAACGTATTCAGCCAAGCCAGCGTAGAAATACGCAACATATGGAAACCCATCATCAAGCGAAAAATGGCCAACTCCCGCCAAAACGGCCATCTCCCACGGAACCAGTGAAGCGGAATCTCTCCATTTTTTATTTTTATTTTCCTTGTTTCATTTCTTTATTTTTATTCATTTCTGTTCAATTGTTCAATTTTACTTGCATTTTATTTCACTATTATTTCATTTCAGGTTTATTTTGGTTAATATAATTGTTATTTTCAGCTATTCATTTTCAATTCTTCTTTTTTAGTTGTTTCGGGGATTTCAAATGATTTTATTTAGTAGACAATGGAAGTCCGAACTAGTGATATTCAATCATGAAACATTGTCAATCACCTTCAAACAAATTTATTTGAATGATATTATATTCGTTTTGGATGCATTGAGAGAGGATGAATTTGCATCGCATCAGCTCTTTCCCTTCCTAAAGTGGGATGATATAATTTTATTTAGCTCCACTGAGTGTTTTAATTCCACAATATTGTAGTATCATCCGCGAATAGAGTGAAGCTACCAGATATGTTAATCATAGAGATGTCATTCATATATAGCAGAAATAGAATAAGGCCTAACACAGAACCCGGTGGTACACTAGATTCAACGGCCCTGTTCTCAGAGAGTTCCGTTGTTCTCACCATTTGACTCCGACCTGAAAGGTACGATTCGAACCAAGTTTTCGTTACACCTCTACATCCCTATTTATGAAGTTTTTTAGTAAAATTTTATGATTGACACAATCAAACGCCTTTGAAGTATCGCAAACAATTGCGGCGGCTACTACACCAGCATTCAGTTCAGAGTAAATTTCATATAAAAAAGAGAAGATAGCATCATCTGTATTTTTTTCCGCCTATAGTCGGTATTAAGGAAATAGGACACAGATTAGAGTGATTATCCAAATCACCACCTTCATGTAGTGGAATGTGGAATGACAATGGAAGTGTTCAGGAAAGAAGGAAATGAACCAGCTCGGAACGAGGTATTAATAAGGGCGACCAAAGTTTATAGAGCATTGAGTAGTAAATTCAGAAGAATCTTATCGGAAATATCATCATATCCGGCCGTGTTTTTGTTTTCAATGTCATGAAGTGTTTTGAACAATTCGTTAAGGCCAGTGTCATATGAAATAAGACTGTCATGAATTTTTATATTTTCTAATTTAATCATGGATCATGAATTGTGTTACTTAACTGTTTAGCATTAGAACAGTAGAACTCATTTATTATATAAGATCAAGTGAGAGTTCAAACTTTTTCCTTTCTATTTTATCTCTTATATCACTACTAATTGACTAAGTTTCTTTAATTTTCTTCTTCGATTCCCCCATTCGATTTGAGAGAAGGAGTAATCGATAATTGCAGTGTCAGCCAACATCTTCCAGTTTAGACATCTGTTTCAATGTTTCATCCAATTTCATCTGGAGATCTTCATTTCTCAGTGCCAATTCATCTTTATCCGAGTTCAGTTTTGTCAGCTCCTCCTCCAAGCTGGCAGCTTCTTTTCGAAAATCGCTTGAGACTCTTCTCAATCTCTTTATGTGGCTGTCCTTCTCTTGATTATCTCTTCTCAACTTATTGAGTTCTTCTTGTAGGGAATTAACTTGTCTTCCCAGTCTATATTTATTTTTTTTTATCACAATAGCTTTTTCTACATTATCTTTCTCAAGTTCATTTATTATGTCTTCACTTTTATTAAGTAGTTCTGCCTCTTGTTTATTTTTCTTCATGCACTCTTTAGAACATAGTATTTTTGTACCTGTCATTGTGATGTGTTTTACCCTGTCCACACAGCTAGTGTGGAACATGTTAAAACACTGAGCACAACAAAAATTTGGGCACTCTTTGCCTTTGCAACACTTGAAATTGTTGGACATTCTGACGAAATAATATGTTTCTAAATTAGTGTTCAATTAAATTGGGTATTAATTATCTCAAGAATGTCACTTCTGTCGTGCGTCCCGAGACGCAGACGTTTTTTATTCACCAAGTACTATTTTTTCCTTTTTAAAGTAGTCCTCCTCAGATATAATACACTTGAACAAGTATTTTTCAATCCTCTAATCAGTTCTGATATGTATATGTATGCACTTTTTGGGTTGTCCTTGAGCTCTCTCTGCGATTTGGTTTATATTTCCTTCAACTTCTCTAATAGTGATTCGACGATTCTCCATAACAATTGTCTTCACTTTCTCAATATTTTCATCGGTTGTTAATGTGCTGGGGCGTCCGGGCGATCGACGTCATTGACGTCTTCTCGACATTTTGTGAATGGCTTGTAACACTCATAAATATTTTTGTGACTCAGAGTACAATCATCGTATGCCACTGCCAACAATTCAAGTGTTTTTGAGCACTTGATTGAATTTTTTACAAAAAGTTCTATACACATTCTTTGTTCCATTTTTTCCGATTGCAGAAAATCGCCAAACACGCAACACTTCTAAATTTTATGCTTCTCACCAACGACCTCAACAAATGAAATTGTGAACATATATTCGAGACGAGTGTACCAACATAAAAAAAAATCGCTAATCGAATATTCGTAGCTCGTGAAATTTGAACATTCACCTCATTTTTTGAACATTCCACGTAAACATATAATCAGGAGGAACCTGATACACAAATGTTATTCCACACATGTAATATAATTTTGAAAAATTGTCACAGGTCAAATTAAATGTTCAGATGTCTTTGTAGTTATGTTGAGTAAATGAAATTTGTACCAACTACGAATGTAGTTGTTTCAAAAGGGTTTTTTCTTCCAGTTTGTAGTTGAAAGTTACTTCTTTGCATGATCTACACATCTTTGTATAGTTACTTTACTTTTGAAATTTATTTTTGAAAATCCCACTTTTTTTGTATAAACATGGAGAAGAAAGCCAAAATATCTAATACTGAAAATGAATAACTTCTTCAGAAAGAAGTAAAGCTGAAATAAAATCACGTAAGAAAATTACTTAATGTTTTATCAAATGAATAGTTTGTAGTAATTTTGAGATACTGTCATAAGTAGCTGGTATTTCTTCCATTAAATGTAAATAGGAAAAATCTATCATAAATTTGTACGTTTGGTTTTGGTGGTTCATTGCTTTTTATTATCTCTTCTGATATTATCAAAGCACTATTTTGTGTTTAACAAATACTACCGTTGAGATGGCATATGGGATAGGAGGAGTCATTGGATACATTAAAATTGTGTCAATGTCCAATTGTTAATCAAGAACAATATCTAAAAGCTGTCTAAACCACATTGTAAACAGACTTCAAATGATTTTTTCAAGAATTTTTACTTTTTCTTCAAACAATAATGATGCAAAATTGTATATTTTGTTCATCTTCAAACTTCCATCAAAAATATTTATCTAGAAAGTATTGTAATAAAATAACTTCCCTTATTTTCTGCTGTCTCTTCTACGTTCATTTGTCTTGAGGTATTGTTTAGTCAGTCTTGTATAGTTATTGCATTATTTGAGGATGAATAAGAAACAAATTTTCCAAAGTATTTATTGAACATAACTTCATTGTTTATGAGAATGTGTTGTTTGTTTGTTTCGATTTTCTTAACTTTTTGAACATGCTCTTTGCGTAAATTAAAAAAATCGTATTTGCAACATCGAGAATCACCTCTAAGTTTAGGTTTTTATGACAAAGTCAAGTTAATTACGGGCTTTCATTTAACTTGCAAAGTGTATGTATGCATTTATATATGTATATATGTATATGGACTGCACAAGACAATGGACTAGTTTTTTGAGAAGCAAACATTTATTAACTGTTCCCAAACAATAAACTTCAACATTCATTCAATATATTTTGTAATCAGACTGTATTATTTGATACACTACCTCAAGATATCAAAGACTTGCATATTGTACCCTTCGAAAAACAGATGAAGAGCTACTAACAAGCAAGGGATATTATAACCTTGAAGAGATTCTACAAGAGAATATATCATTACCAACCCCATTTTAATTATATTTATTCAATTTGTTGACATTTTTTAATACTTTTTTTTCGATTTTATAAACTTTTTATTTACAACTTCATTTATGTACAGTCTGTACGATTTTTAGTTGTTTTCATCTGTGTGTATATATTATTCTAACTCTAACTTCACAAAAAAAAATTGAACCCACCCAAGACGCATAAATGCAACTTCTATACTTTTTACATATCGCTATGTAATTTCTATAATTTTTACATATCAGTATGTAATATCTTATGATAGGAGGTAGTGAAATAATGATTTGCATTAACTTGCTTGATAATATAATCACAGTGTGTTTCAGAATAGACTAGATATTCTTGATAACATGACTTGAAAAATATATTCTCTAGATGTAACTTTATAATCCAAAGTATAAAAATTGGCAGGTTCGAAAATAATTCTCAGTTATTTGCAAGAGAAGCTTTTAAGGTTGGAGATATTCAAAAGTAACTTTTGCCATTATATTTTTGTTATTCTAGGTATTTTGCTTGCAGGTCTCTTAAAATGTCCCAGAAGACTAAACACAGTGCTCCATGAGGAGCAAGTCTCATATAATTAGCCCCTACTCCTTTGTAGAAACCTGTCAGTCCTTCTGTTTTGGCTATTTTAATAAATGCATCCGGTATATTCTTGTAAAGAATTCCTTTTCCACTTTTGTCAACACCTGAAATTGTTGTGATCTGTAGTTTACATCTTAAATGCTGTTAAATGCTGATGTTACCCTGATTATAAAGACGTACTGAAACTAAATCAAAAGGGTTCATTATGAGGCACTGGAATACTCCACTTATGATACTTCCTATTAAGGAAGATAATAATGGTATTCTTTTGAATAAGTCATATTCTGTAAGCATGTCCTTCGAAATAGCAAAAGAAGTTAACTGAGCAGATGAACCTGCCACTGCCCTCAACATGGTAGCATTCGCTCCTCTCCATAAGCCAGCAATCTGAAATAGGAAATAACTTAAATCTAAAAGTAAATTCACTTATTTATTTTTTGTGCATTTGATATAGTAAATAATTTTTCTGGGCATTTGAATATAGTTATCCCATGAAAAGACACTAGATGCAAATTAAAACAGAGAGGAATATAGGAATGTAGACTTTCGTGGCTTGCGTCAATGTTTTGCCGTGGTCTTCTTTGGTTATAATTTCCAAACGTTTCGAATGCAACTACGGCAGTGAACCTCAGTGACGTGGTCGGAGTACTCTTCTTGATGTGTCAACTGAAGAGTACTTCCACCACGCCACTGAAGATGACTGCCTCAGTTGCAGTCGAAACGTTTGGAGATTATAACAAAAAAAGACCAAGGCAAAATCCGGAAACCAACCAAAACAGAGAGAGAATATTTCAAATTAACATTTGCTTTTATTAAGTTGTTTGTTATTTATGGAATAAAATATATTGCAGTAAAAATGACTTCATTAAAAAAACAATGAAATTCCTACAGAAAACAAAAGTCACATACATTCCAATATATGTTTCAAAATAATCTTGTCCAGTTTATACATCCTTTTGTCATCCAGAAAATGTTTACTACTACAATGCTATGTATATGGTGGTTATAGATATATACCCCTTCTTTTGAATAAATTGTTTTGAAAGCGGCAAATACTCCTTTGTGGCCATGTTGTGTGCCTACTGATATATTGTCGGCTGCTTGGGACTGCAATTGAGTTTTTACTAAAAATAAAGGGCTTCCCATGAATGCTCCAGCTGCTCCACAAAAGGCACTCGCTATGGCACTTCTATAAAAAATTGTTTTCCCCTTCTCATTGGTCAAATAACCTTTTTTATTAAACCATTGATAGGACCCTGAAGGTAGAAATAATTATTGCTTTGTTGTTAACCAGTGAGATGAAATACTCTTCTTGGTTTTCCGCAATTTGATTTCAATCGAGGACCGCCTGCTCGGTAATGACGATGTCCAACAGACTGAAATAGCTGTCTGCCGGTGGCTCTTAAATTGAATTCAAATTGTGGATGATCACTATCTATCATTAACATTTGTTTACAAAAAGGATTTGAAACTTTAATCACTTTTACTTATTATATATGAGCGCTTTTGATAGCAGTCTGTACTATCATCTTCATGACTCTACTCAAACTGAACGTTTTATCTTCTTGTTTGTTCTTTTATGTGATTAGAACGTCTTAGTGCAGGTATTTGTTCTCTCCTGTCTTCTGGATGTCTCTTTAAATTTGCCTGTATTTGGGTAATAATATCCTTTGTGATAGAGTTCTCTAGTTTCAATGTTTCTAGGAATGTATATTGAATATTAGGTCTTGCTGTGTTTTGATTTGTATTTGTTCCTTGATAAGTGAATTATGAGTGTTGAATTTATGGATGTTTAGGTTTTCCCAGATGTCCATACGGTTTCCTTTATTGACTTGTTTTATGAGTTTAATGTTTTCTGGTGGGGGAAAGTTATGTTTGTTTTGTATGGCGTGTGTAGCGAGATTTGATTTATATGTTATTGGGTTTATGTATGCTTTTTTGTGCTCATCGTATATATTTATATATTTTGATTGATGTAACTAGTTTTCCTTTATTTTCAATGTTTTAATATTAATACTTGTTTACAAAAAGAATTTGAAGCTTTAATAACTTCTATTTATTATATGCGAGCGCTTTCGATAGCATACTGTGCTATCATCTTTATGACTATACTCACACTGAACGTTTTATCTACGATAAAACACAAATAATATTTTCTTGCATTTGTTTACAAACTATATAGCAATGATTTTTCATTCAAAGGATGAGAATTTGAGCCTGTCAACCGATAATCCAACGAGAATAAAAAATATTCTGTTCTCAGAACCGAATGAACTTTAGGTGAATGTAGCAGGCAATGAATTCATCAACAATTTTTTACAATTGTTGGACGAATATATCTTGAAAATGACAATAAAGCAAACTCACACTTTCGCAGTAATGTTATTTTGTTAGAAGTTGAATTCGGAAAAACCACACATTTCCCAGTAGAAGGATCTAAGTGTGTCAGAACTGTTCTAATTCATAGGATTGCAGTGAGGATAAGACTACTAGAAGAAAGATAGGCTCTGCAACCTATGAAACAGACGTACTTGGTGTTTAGCAATCACGGAAATGTGCAGTAAATGTAATGAAGTTGTACCAAGTGATGAAGACAGTATAGTGTGTGATAGTTGCACAGAAGTCTTTCATTATTCCGTGCTAGGAATCACACGTTAAAAAGTAAGACCTCGTTAGTCCTCAGATCGCAGAAGTTTCGACTTTTGAAAGGTATCGTGTGAAGGAGGACGACAGTTGGTTAACGGAAAAACAGATTTCAGCAGATTATAATATCAAGGCCATGAAAAACTGCAAATTTAACATGTACTGATTATAAATCTATAATAATTGTTAAACGTGATATTATATATTTTTGTACTGAGTGCAAAGCATTCAAAAGTGATCCAGCTATCCTCAAGGAATTAAGGAGGTGTCATCATCTATGTTAAATCTAATGATCATTTTTGATATATAAAACATTTGTAGTAGATAATGTAAAACTTATTAAAGTAGATATTGGTTCAGAAGCTAGCTCATGAGTACATTTTTTAGAACTTTGAAAATAATATATGTGAGTAACTTTTCAACTTAGTGACATTATATATTGGCTGGTAATTTCAACTTTTATCTATTAGTGATGATTTCTATGCGGTTAAATTAAAAAATCTTCTTTTGTAATATGAAATAAATCGATGAATTACCGAAACTACTAGAATCACTAACGATAGTGAAACTCTGCCCGATTGTGAATATTACTGGAGTTTTATCCCAACACCAAACCGTTATTTAAACACCTTGACATGTGTTTCGATCACCAAGTGATCATCTTCAAGAGAAAGACTAAATATATGTACAGTGTTATCCTTATTTATATCATAGATACCTCTGCTAGGTACCTGCGTCTCAAGTGCCTTGAATTAATTTCACAATGTCGCCTTATTTGCTAGTATTCAATTAATTTTACAATGTGTCCTTATGTAATAGTCAGGTAAATCTGATGATTGAAATGTTATTTCAACAAGATATATAGTATAATATTAAGTATTGGTCCACCTAGTGGAAGTCATGCAGCTTTTCTCGATCAAATGGAGATAATATGTGAAGAAATATTTTGCAGCAATCATCAAGTGATTTTAGCTGGTGATTTTAATTTAGACTTCTTGTCTAATGAATTTTATGTTAAAAAAATTAAAGATCTTTTCAATGCTGATGGTATACATCAAAATGTGGAAACATATACTAGAATAACTAACACCAGTAAAAGTTTAATAGACTATGTATTGATAAATCAGGATAATTTGGAAGTTAAAGTATTGGATGAGCCCAAGATCACTGATCACTCCATAATAATTGTTAAATGTTTTCAAAATGTGAGACCTACTACAGCAGGGAGGTGCAGTAAAATGATTAGAAAGTTAACCGATGAAAACCTGCATACCATAAATTGAAATTTAATTTATAGTCAATTCCTACTGAATAGTATAGATATTAACGACATTTACAACAATATTAAGGATATTTTAGACAAAATTGTTAATAAGATCGCACCCGTGAAAACAATAATATATGGCGTAACGACCTACTTTGGTATGACGATAATATAAAAAAATTAAGCAGAGAAAGAGATCGTGCATATAAAATCTTCAGAAGTATCTCTAATATAACCAACTGGGAAAATTATAAACAAAAACGTAATGCTGTTGTAAATTTGATACAAGAAAAAAAATTGTTATTATTATAACCAAATAGACAGAAATATGCATAATCCACATTTAATGTGGAAAACGCTAAAAATAGAAAGGTCGGGTATTTACGAAATCAGTTGTCAAGATTGCAACAGCAAATACATCGGCCAGAGCCGACGAGCGATTAAAACCCGCTTCAAGGAGCATTGTGCACACATCAAATACGGAATGATAGAAAAATCCAGTGTCGGCCAACATGCTCTAGACAAAGACCACATAATTGGTGAAAACAATCTGAAACTGATTAAGCATGTGCATGACACTAGTCTACTCGATGAACTTGCAGGTAGTTAATAACCGAGAAATTCCATATTGGACTTCAGGTATACAACCTCAGGTAACACATTTTAGTTTATAAGGACTAACCAGACTAGACTAGGTATCAATTTTCTTCTCCTGAGGATGCTAACTTTGTTGGCGAAACGCGCGTCGAGTGCAAAAATATCAGTTTGGTGTTAGGGCAATTGATCTCGAAAAAAGTTATTCAACTTTCACACCAAAGGTTCCAATATCATCGTTATTCAATCAATTCTTTGCCAATTGAAGAAAAGCTATTAGAGACAGTAGTTTATCAACAGTTATTAGAATATATTAACTCAATTAATTTGCTATTCATTAATCAGTCTGGCTTTAGATCAAAACACTCATGTGACTCAGCTATACAACTCATTGTCACTAAATGGAAGGAAAAAATGAGTAATTATCTGTACACTATAGCAGTATCACTGGATCTAAAACGGGCTTTTGAAACAGTAAATAGAAAGATATTATTAAAGAAACTAAATAAATATGGTATAGAGGGTAAAGTATTCAATTGGATTAGAGAATTCCTTACAAATAGAAAACAGACAACAAAAATGTGTGATGTAATGACGTCAGCTATTACAGTAAATCATGGAGTTCCTCAGGGTAGTATTTTGGACCCTCTATTGTTTTTAATGTATATTAATGATATGGAAATATATGTTGAATGTGACTACATTCATATATTCACAGATGATACTCTGATATCAGTAAGTGATAGGAATATCGAGAGCAGTGATCAAAATAAATGATGTGCTGAAAAATATTGATAGATATTTGAAAATGAACAAATTGAAATTAAATGTAAGTAAAAGTAAGGCAATGATAATTACTACATCTTATAAATATAAACAAATGAATAGTAGTAATATTAACATAGAAATAAACAATGAAAAAATTGAAATTGTAAAGGAATTGGAATATCTGGGATTTATGTTGGATAATCATTTATTATTTAATAGCCACTCTGTGGCTATTAAATAACTTTACAGTTATTTACTGTGGACCGAAGACTGACTTATAAAATGATACATGAACTGACTCCAACATGCATGGGTAAGTTTATTATAACTGTAAACCAAATCCACACATACAATACTAGAGGCCAGAATCATTTATATGTAAACAGGCAGTCAGAGTACCTCATATAATGTAAAAAGTTTATTTTTTAAAGGATTCATTCAGTACAATAGTTTACTACAATATGTTAAAGAGACAAGAAGTATAGCAGCATTAGAACATAATTTGATTTTGTATTATAATTAAAAAATATTCCACCATTATACTATTCTGTATTTAACTTAATGTATATATTTTAATTTAATTTATTTAATTTAATATAATCATATTATACAAAAGCACTGTAACAATAGGATTCTCAAAATCAATATACAATTTTTATACAATTTATACAATTGAAAATGATAACAATACAATAAATATGATAAATATGATATGATATATACACACACACATATACATACATACATATACCATACATTTTTACTANGAAAGTTATCAATGTTCCAGAGACCCCTGGTCGCTTCATCTGCTACAATGAACTTGCGGGTAGCCAATGCCATTCATCGGGATTTGTATTATTAGAAATTTCTCCAACTCTGTTGACAACAAAAGTATTACAGTTCCTTGGATGCGACTTAATCCAACTCAAAACTATTTTAGAATCAATCCAGAAGAATTTTTCATCTATTTTCATACTGTGGCCATTTTCGATAGTTTTAGCCAATCGTGATCCAAGAAGAGCTGCTTGAAGTTCAATTCTGGATACTGCCATGGGTTTCAAGGAAGTGACTCTCGACTTAGCCATTACCAAAGACGTTTTAATCTGATCACTATTTCATAGGAAATTATGACACAGCAGCATATCCTTTTTCACTGCCATCCGTGAAAGTATGTAGTTTGAATTTCAACAATATGACTGATGAATCCATACCATCGAGGAATTCTCAAATTTCTCAAAAGATTTCCATTTTCCAAATAGATCAGGAGTGATTTTATCATCCCAAGCAATTTTATGTGACCATACTTGCATCAAATTGTTACTCTCATTGGACCAAAATAATCCATGCCTATAATCAAGAATGGTCTGCGTCTGGAATTAGTCCCGTCTGCTGAGTTTCAGTGTTTAAACACTGATTTAACATCATTAATGAAGAGTAGAAATAATATAGGACCAATGTTCGAACCTTGCGGAACCCCTGAAGTCACATGACTTGTTTCTGACACACTGTCAGCTATCCTAACATTCTGCGATCTACCGGAAAGTACTATTATTATTATAAATAAGACACATTGTAAAATTAATTCAAGACTAGTAAATAAGGCAACATTGTGAAATTGATTTAAGACACTTAAGACGCAGGTACCTAGCAGAAGTATCTATGGTATAAATAATGATAACATTGTACGTATATTTACTTTAATCTTCCTCTTGAAGATGATCACTTGGTGATTGAAACACGTGTCGAGGTGTTAAAAGAACTCCAGTAATATTCATTACTACACCAAAGATTCCAAACAGTGCATAACAAATATATCTGTTCAACTTTTTACGCTCAGCGAACATGTTAAGAAAATAAAAAAAGCTTCGTTGACAAAATTTTCCCAACAAGTTTCAACAAACATGGTCTTGGTGCCTAGTTTTGGTAATCATATAGAAATTTTCAACAAAGCTATCAAGTAATCAACATTAAAAAAAAACTAAAATAAAAATTTTTGATTCAAATTACATTTCTAACTGTTCAAGTGATACAATGCACATAGTTAATTTAGGAAGATTTATTCTTTCTACCAAAGAGTGACTTGGAGTAAGTTTGAAAATGAATAACCTTCAGGACTGGTATCTCAAAATGTCTTTTTTTTTATAGTAATGGCAGCATTGAAAATAGTGTCCGACCAAAAGTTCAGTTTTGGTGGAGTTTCAGCAAAAAAACTGGTTTCGGTTCAGTTTCGGTGGTAAACCTACATTCGGGAGTCCAAAACTGCATTCGGGAGTTCCCACGCTGTAATGGGTCATGTTCGGCGCGTTGAATTTCATACAAGTGACGAAGACATTTTGCCACGTCCACGTGCCTAATCATTTCGTGACTTACTTTGTTCATTACATAAATAATAAATACCTATTGTGATAGTAGGTAACAAAAGAAAGATCTACACCTACTCAAATAAACACCTCACCTATTTTAAGTATTTTTGAGGTGCAATTAATATTTTTTCTTAAATAAGTGTTTGTTTTGTTGATTATAATGTCAAAGACTCCATAATGTTGTGATTCAAAAATAAAGCAATAAAGACTGACTGATTATAAAGTTCTTTATTTTTCACCCTAAACATATTCCTTGTAAGGAAGTTTCAGTTTGGCCGAAACTGAGACATTTGCCGAAATTCGTTTTCGGTCGTAAAAACCAGTTTCGGTTGGACACTAATTGAAAAAATAGTTTTCTTACCTAGTCTTATAGAATTTCTTATAGAATGCATTGCCATTGCTGGTAAGAGACCTTTCTGAAGACCTCGAATCCCTTCATTTTTACCAATCACCCAGCTAGCGTGAAAAACGTTTTTATAGAAAATATCATGTTGACCTTTTGCACGAAGTTCGCCCTGTAGCTGCATTCGCGTTTTTACAACATCAAAGGGGTTGCTGAATATTGAAGCACCACAAGCAGCTAGGCCCCCAATAACAAAGTCCATGTTTGTAGACTAGGTATACTTGTTCTGAAAAAAACATGTTGAGATTTTTAGAAAACTAAAATTGACATAAAACCTCAAACATTTTCAGAATGAAATAGGGGTAATTCATTAAATGTCTTAAACACTACCCTATGAAACAGTAGATTTTGTAAGCAACAATTATTGCTCATTTTTTAACGTTTTTTGTGATATTGGTATATTGTGGGAAAAATGGGGATGCTCAGTAATTTTATAAAAAAAAATATATTTTGTAACTTACAAAATAATATTTCCAATAAACAAACAGTTTTTTACTCATTTTTATACAAATCATCTAACTATCTTCAATGTACCCCTGTTTCTCAGTCGAAGTAAGGGGGCGGCAATTACATGGTATGGTTCGCAAAGTTCAACTTCAAGATACCAAAATAAAGCCGTTAATGCTAGATTATATCTCTGAGTCCACCTTTTCAATCATACCATTGTTTTTTCTTTAACCTTGAGAATTATCAGCATTATAAGATTTTCTTGTTACACTAATCAGTTGAACAGAATATTTTTGTAGTGGTCAGAAAAATGCTTGAACTTGCCTTTTAATTTTATCAGGGCATATGAAAAAAAACCTTCCAACAATAATTTTCCATTTTATAAATAGAAAATTGGATATAGATTTGTGGAGTCATCAATTATTACAGCTAGTAATATTATACTTTGAATTCGACCTACAACCTTGGAACTTTGCAGCTGACTGATACGGCTAATACGGCATCATGTGACTTTGCAACCAGTGTTGTCAACCCAATGTACCTGCGATAGGTTGATGTCAAAAATCTGCAAAATCTGATTAAAAAAAAGAAACATAAATTCATGGAAAAATGGACGCAAACATTAAAGTAACCAAAATTGTACGAAATGCAGTTATATGAAAAACTTATCATGGCGTTTAAACTTTCACGGTCGGTCTAACATACTATTTGTTTTACTTTTTTGTGCCATTTTACTATTTTCTATGAAGGCATAAAAAGACCATTTCTTAGAAAAAATATATAACTAGCATAGATCGATCTGTCGAAAAATGTGAAAAAGTAGAAGAAATTATTTGTCAATCTATTCGGTGACGTTTTCTTTTCTCCAGCCAAAATTGACAGGAAAATGCTAGTAATAATATTGGGAATATTAACAATTTCGTCAACGATTTCGAAAAATGTTTTTCAATTTTGCATTCCTCCACTACTTCATTCCAAAGAATCTGTCGATTGTGATCGAATGAAAAGTAGAAACTGGAACAGGAATCAAAGAGTAGGTATAAAAACAATAAAAATGCTCATATCGGAATCGTAGCTGATTCACTAAAAATTAACACTAAATGGGGTTACTTTGAGGTAAAACTGATCTGTTGAGAAAGGATCTAGAATGCATAGAAAATCCGTCAACACCTGAAAGCGCTACAAAAGTTTTAAGATTCTGAGAATAGAAATATGTAAGCAGATTTTCTGTATTTTACGGTTTATTGGCAACTCTGTTACCTGTCTGGTGGATGAGTATAAAAATTTCTTGCGCCGCGATATTATGACGTCACTGCACCGCAATTTTACTGTCAACTATTAAGTTTCCAATCTAAACGTGAATTTATGTTCCAAATTCATTATGGTTTTAGGTTCAGAGTCGTAAAGGGACGCTAACCATTTCATTCTTCATTATTTAGCTCTCATTAACCATTCTGCCATTCATTAGAGCTTATATTTACCTATATTGTGTCATTTCCTCACACTCACCTCTAATTATATAATTTCAATTGAAATGAACTTTGTAGGTGTTATAACGTGTTGAATGTGATTTCTGGACAATTTTAAAAACACTCTCCACTTGCTTCAACAAAATATTCACAGACCATGACTTACACCGTTACACTAGCGAATGAGGGCATTAAACCTGATTATATACTTCAAAAACCTAGGTAAACAAAAATGATAACTGTTAAATCAGACCAAATTCCGAAATCTGTGTTATTTTTTTGTTACATAACCTATTTGCCATCACGTTAGTTATTGTGTTGAGATGTTCGGTAAAACATACAAGGGTTTGCAAAGACATATGAATTATTAATTTGTCTAACAGTGTTCATTACGTTCATCAACACTTTAAGTCGACATTTTTAATACAACCAGAATCACATGTTTTTAGGTAGGGGAGACCGGGGCTGGTCGACGCACTTTTCACATTTTTGTAAGAAGACGCTGAATAAAAAGATGTAATTCTACTTTTTTCTCAATATATGAACACCTGATCTTTTGTGTTGTAGATTTTGCGAAAAAATATTTTAGAGACGACACTTTAGATGCGTCAACTAGACCCGTCACGGGAGATGGGAGGAAGAAATGTTTCAAGATTCTATTTCGGAATATTTAGTTTCTTATTATTTCTCCTCGATAGTCTTCAGACTTAATTTGATTTCTGTTTGAGTATTGATACATGAGATGTGTTTTTCCCGTTTGGGGCCCTGTTCACGAAGTGGAGCTGTTACTAGTAAACCATATCTCTCGTGGACGAAACTTTCATACATGCAGACCTCGAAACCGGACTGTAGGTGATCTATTTGAATGATTTCAGCGTGGTCCTGCTGCTGGATGAACGAGAAACATCTGCAAGAGTAACCTTTGTGAGTTATCTTGCATAAATGTCTGTTAGCCGGGGAATCACTTGTTTTCCGGCAGCCATTTATACTAGTACTACTGTTTAGGTACGTTGGGAGATATGGATGTTTTGAAATTCTATTTCATAATATTCATTTTGTTATACTTCTATTGTATGAAAATTCCATTTGTAATCTTGAAAACTCCAGAATGAGGATTGCAACCTCAAAATTTTCAAATGGTTAATATGAGTTTGTGTGACATATTCAAAAAACCCTATTTAAAAATTATATTGTTGCGAATATGTAAAAATGTGGTATATAAAACTAAACCGTTAGATTCAAGTGACTTGAGAAGAAGAGTACCTAACTCATGCAGTCACATCACAGGTGTTGAATAACGTTAGAAAACGGTATTATTTGAGAAGGAGACAGTATTGTTTACGAAGTTGCTCATGTCCTCATTTTTGTTTTTGTTTCATAATATCTAGAACTGAACTGTATTAAAATTGAGAACAACAGAATTTTTGAATATACAAAAATAGATACATATACATATATACAAAATAATAGATTTAATGTATGACTGTTCCAATCTGTATATCAGGACCTTACTTAAACTTCAAAAAATAATATGAAACAAATATGAAGATGAGACATTCAGTCGTTCAGAAAATGAATATTTCAAAATGAAATCTCAAAACATTGATCTTGTTGAGCAGAGAGGGAAATGGGAATGAAACAACCACATTTGTTTGCTGTTCGATCTCGACTACACTTTATTTAAAAAAAAAACAGGATGCGTACATTGTTGCCAATATAACAGTTCAATATTGCCAACGACATAAATTATTACAGTTTGATGTCAGAAAACAACACCCCCACTACATCAAACATTTGAACTTTTACATGAACCTAACATATAAGCTGAGTAAAATAATACTCCATAGAATCACAGTTCTCAAGTCTTATTGAAATTAACGTGCGCAACAACCTGATTTTTCGACAAAAGCCTTTGTCGTCAAAAAGTTTCTGAAGCTGAGTTCTTAAGTCCTTTGTCGACATAGCATCTTTCACATGCACAAACAATGATGGGTCCATTGTTAGGATTAGCTTTGCCTTGGCTTTTTCATCTTTGACCTGGTTCTCTACACTGCTGTCCAAACAGTCCCTCAAGTCATCCAACACCAGCATATTCTGCACCGCGAACGACCAGTCACTGTAATTCTCTCGACTTTTTATCTTCGGGACACTGGATAAAAATTAACTGCCATTTTGAGTCCTGAGATATTCTGAACTGCGTAATAGGCACAACAAACTATGGTTACAACTTGAAAGTCAAAAAAAAAAACCCTAATAAACGCCTGAACTTCGTTTTTGGGCCCATAACCTGTTGAGCAGAGAGGGAAATGGGAATTAAACAGCCACAATTGTTTGCTGTTCGTTCTCGACTACACTTTATTTAAAAAAAAACAGGAAGCGTTCATCGTTGCCAATATAACAGTTCAATATTGCCAACGACATAAATTATTACAGTTTGTGTCAGAAATCAACAGATCTCTCTAAAAGTACCTACACAGTAAGTTTTGGTAAATTCCTGTCGGAAAACACCTACTACCCCGGCTAATACCACGATGGGTATTAAATTATATCGGACAGACATTTATGAGCAGATGTCATTTTTGCATTTATTTATCTTTCATTCAGCAGCAGCATCAGTGCAGGAAATATACGACCCAAACAATCCTGCCCAAACAATGCCTGGGACTCAACTGACTTCAACGCGTCTCGACTGCATGCATTGAAACCAACGTCTGAGACGAAGTAACAGTTCTATCTCGTGAACATAGCTCCAAAAGCGAAAAAAAACATCCCATGTACCAATACTGTAGGATCTTTCATTAAACGCTTCCTATCTTTAAATTTAAATAAAACAAGGTGCGTGTGAGATATCATAAACATTTTTCATTCGTTTGAAAGACCTATTGGTGCTATTATGTGTTTTCAAATGTTCTTCACGGCTTCTCTGGGTGGAGCACATCCGAAACGTCTAATTTTCCATGACACTGGCGCATAAATCAGGCTGAATTTGACCGATGGCAAATATGTTGGCTTTGTAGACCGCTGTGGTTTGTGGCTTTTCGCAATGAAACACTTTAACTTAAACTTCAACTATTATTCAAATGCGAGTGGATCCTGTTTATATTTGGCAATCGAAGGCCATAGAAAATTCCACGGAATTTCTGAGGCCACTTTGCGTTTTGCGAAGAAAATAAAAAAAACATTCGAAAGTGCTTCAGAAGAGAACTTGCCAAAGTTCAATCCTCCAAGACAAGTGAGACATACGAGGTTGAGACATTGTGCGGCAAACCTTGTTCGGCCTGGTTCATCAGATTGGGTTGGATAGTGTATGGGGGCTTCTATGTGGTGCTTTCAGTTTCCCAGCAGCCCCCTACGACTGATGGGGAAAATATTTGGACTGCTGGACCAGAAACCTTCATTGAAGGTACAATTCAACACCTCCAAATTCTGAATTTCAACATTAATTCTCATCATCTTCACAATTTTTGTCGCGCTATGCAAGTTGAATGATGAATGCTTTGAAACGAATACTTTCATCAGAAGGTTAATGCCTATAGCATCTTATAACCGGATGATGTGTTATAACCAAATTACGTTGATTTTGGTTCCAAAAATTTTGGACGTGATTCCATCGGCCTGCAGACATCCATTCTATATTTTTTCAAAGTGTTCAATTCGAAATTTTTCGCGAAGAAACATCGAAAACGGAGAAACATCATTAATTTTTTACAACTATTTATGAAAATAACTCTTCTTATTAACACATACCTACCATTATTTTTTTGTCATCCTCTAATTATATCGATACATTTTAGTTTCCAATACTCTTTTCTAATACAGGTTAGTCAAAATCTCGAAGTTAAAGAAATGGATGTAAGTTCTGTACACACGGCATTAGTGAAATGTGTGCTGCAACTTTCAAAACCAGGAGTAATGAGAAGTTCATTACTGCTACAGACCCCCTAGTGTAAATTGTGATACTCTAGTTATAAAGTATCTTTACAGATCTTGAATGACGACTTCGAATTCCTTGAATACAAATAGTGAGTACACGAACCTATCAAAAACTTTTATTCAATTCGATTTGAAAAAAAATACGGTTCTAAATTTTTGCAACGAAGGCTCTACCTACTATCTGTGTGATATATATTCCCTTCTCTGATCACAGAATGTTTTTACCAGATATTGACCAAAAAATTCAATTCGTATTACAGTCGTTCATTCAGCCAAGAAGCTACTTATATGTTTATAAACGATCTTTTTCTCGAAGATTGGCCAAGTTTGACATTCAATAATTTCCTTGATACTTGCGGTGACTATTCTGGCTCATCCTGTTTATGTGTTCCTATACCTGTCGATATATTTTATTATAAAAAACAAAGTAGCATAAGGTTGTCATAATTTAAAAACCAACATTTTTAATAAAAGTATTTTGAGTTGTTCTAATAAGAATTGATTCCATAATTGGTGACACCGATTTTTTTTTAAAATGGTTAAGATGTTCTTGTAGAATTTGAATAAATAGCAGCTGACCAAAATTTTACGGCACTTTAATCAAGAAACGGGAGGAACGTTAGCTGACTTGAAACTTAAACTAGAAGCCCACATCATTAAGCTTTCCCAGAAAATGTAAATGCTCACAATTTTGATTTCACTGATCTTCTTAAAGAAATTGAACAGAAAAAAATCAACTTGGAACTTGACGGTGATGCAAACTCAATACGTGAACTTGAAAAAGCTATAACTGCGTAACCACTGACGAAATAATTAATAAAGTGAACGGTTTAGAAATCTTATATTCAAAGCTAATAGAAAAACTAGATGATAATAATAAAAAGCTGGAAATGTATGAAAACTTTATGAGTCACTATATACACTATAGTGAAAGAAAATTCAACGAAGTAACACCTTCCTACAATCCAATGTCTAATGAACCATCCACAAGTGAAGGAAGACAAAAATCCCAGATAGATAAGCAGCAAGAGGAAATAGAAAAGGAACAAAAGCGTGCTAAATCTATAATTCTTCGATGATTTTGGAAACACGAACCTGAACTGTGGTTTGATACAACTGAAACTATTTTCAGTATTAACGCCATTGACTCAAGTTAAATAAAGTTTGCAAAAGTGATTTCAGTTTTGGATTGTTTAATAATCAAAGAAAATTCAAACCTTTCCAAAATCTACCAGAGCTCAGATCCATATAACAAACTGAAATCTCAGTTGATTCAATGTTATCAAGTTTCTGATGAAAAAAACCAAGCCACCTTCTTAGGGAGATGT